ATAGATCTGGGTGCAAATCAAAAAAACCCGGGATTTTCTGAAGCTAATCAAGTGGTTACTCAAGGCTTGATATATATATATTTGATATATATATATCAAATATTAGGAAACAGATTGATACCGATCCGTAAATATTTATTAAAATAAAAAAAGTTCTTATTAAATTTTTATAAAATTTGGTAACTATTGTGCAGTGTTGCTAAACAGCTCGATTTGGGCCGATTTTTAAAAATAATACGATTAAGATCTTAGACAAAATAATATTATCTAAGCCCGATATAATCAGGTATTTAAAACATCGGTGAATAATTTAGCATCATAAAGAAAATACTGAGATAACAACAATTTTGATAAGCCAACAAATTAACCGTAATCTTTTGCTTAAATCAATATTTCATGTATTTCTTAACATAAAAAGCTACCTTTCCCTGGGACTGGTTCAACAAAAATTACAGATGCTGCAAATGTAGAAAACAAAATTTATTCTTTCTGGACTATTTATAGCAATGTTTTCATACACCATCCAAAAAGATCCTGAATTAAATAAAATTACGAAATTTATATACAAAAATACGCGATATACATCACCCGATTTAAAACGAAGTAATATCTATTATGGTAGATATGATGCTTGATTATATTTCAGATAAATATAATAAAAGTGAGATTCCTTTTATTTTGTCTTAAGGCTGATGTGACAAAAGTTGCATCAGGTTTTGAAAACCTGCGCATAATTGTATATATTTTTTCTGGAGAAGTCCAAGAAAATTTAATAGGGATTATTAATTTACAGTTTATTTCTGCTGAAAGCATTACTAATTGCATTTTAAAGCAACTTAATGAGTTAATTCAATGAATATGATAAACCAGGCATATGATGGTGCAAACGTTATGTCTGGCCGAAATGGAGGAGTGTAAACCCTACTTCAAAAAAAAATTAATAAAAAAGTTCCTTTTATACATTGCTACAACCACATGTTGCATCTTGTGGTTCAAAATTGGTATAATAATATTGTTATCATTTCTAATTTTTTTAATTAATTCAATGCATTGAATAATTTTTTAGACGGTTTAACGTATCCTGTAAATATGCAGGCCATACTCTTAAGAGACTTTTAGACCAGAGGTGGACTGGTCATTTAGAAACATCTCGCATCATTTATATTAATTTTGAGGCTATTGGTGAAGTATTAGTTTACCTTTCTAATAGAACTTTTAGTTCAGAGGTTAGCACTCATGATTCTGTCAAAGCCTCTGGTCTTTTATCTCAATAGGTTAATATAATTTACATTATATTAGCCATTATAATTTATGAGATATATATTAATAATAATAGATCCACTATGTATCTACAGTCAGTAGGTACTTATCAAATGGATGTAAAAATTATATTGATTCCACTATCAATATATTTAAAAAATATAAGAATCAATAATTCTATTGATTTGATTAGAATAAAGGCTGAAAAACTTTTAACAAAATTTAATCTCACTCCCCACAAATCATCAAGCGTACATAAAACGCCTATAAATTTCTAAGATTTTTTAGTCGAAACCAAATTACAATTTGATTGCGAAAAAGACTCCAATTGGAGTTCTTTAAAATTGAATTAGTATGAAATTATTGATTACTTTGTTGATAATTTTTTAGATAGATTTACACAAGATGATTATAATCATCTATCAAGTTTTAATGCATTGTCCCCCTTTGATAGTAATTATTTTATATCGTACAAAATGGCCTGATTAAATTATTAAACTTAAATATGGAAACTTTACATCATGAAATGAAAATTGACTAATAGATTAATAGCTGCAGAAGTTAAGGAAACACATAATTTTGAAAATGTCCTAAATATTATGTATAAAAAAATATCATCATGCATTTAAAGAATTGTATAAATGCTACTCAGCATTGGAGTAACAACGGCTTCTTGTGTGGCTTCCTTCTCTATAATAAAGAGAGTTCTATCGAGCACTAGAGGGTCGATGAAAGATCAAGCAAAATTTAGTAGTGATGGCTTATGAAAAAATATTAACACGATATTTATCCTTTAATTCATTTATGTTAAAATTTAAAAATAAAAATCGTCGTATTATATTTTAATATTATTTTTGTATGTTCATATTATAGTATTATTTTGTATTCATATAATATTAATAATTTTTTAATAAAAATAGCAAAAAATTTATATGAATGCCTAATTATTTGTTTTATTTTTTTTTAAATAGTGCCCCCCCCCTAAGTAAGCAGCTGGCCCCCCTAACGGAAATTTCCTGGCTACGGCCCTGGATGCATGACTAAAAATTTTTAGGGGGTAGAAAGAAAATAAAATGGCCAAAAGGCACACTTATTCGTGGTTCATGAAAAAAGCAGGGTTGTGAACCAAACCTGTATCAGCGAACTTAGATTTTCGGGATTTTTTTACAAACCCTAACTGAGCCGATTTGAAACTAGTATTTTACAAAAAATCACATATTTCTACACATAAATTTATAAATATTAATTACTTGAGCTAAGTTTCAGTATTTATAATATTTGGAAATTCTCGACCATCTTGCACAGATGTTAGTTAATTGTTAGAAACCCTTTCATTTAGCATAATTATATATTTTAAACTCAAAATATTAGGAAGGGATATTATAAAGGCCCAAAAAATATAATTAAATGAATTTAAAAAAAAATATATTAGCATAAATCTTAATATGGTATCTGTAAATTTACAGTTTTATTCAGAGTGGTTAAAAGATATTTTTCTGGTGGATCTCGTTATAGATACATCATTGTATAAGAATAAATCTAACAAATATCTCGTATAAAAATGTATCCGCAACTAAATACATTCTTGCAAATGTATCTGTATATATATAATTTTTTTTTTCGCAAGCTATTTTAATTATAATTATATAAGGTGTGCATTAATGCTTAATTTACAATTCGATTGTTAAATTTCAAATTTTGAAACGAGCTCTAAAATTTTTTATTTAATTAATCTCATCTACATACAAAATATGTAATTAAATGATAATAATAATTAATAAATTTTAATATCACATAAATAAATAATTAAATGATAAATAAAAATTATTACAATTTAATAATACATATAAAAATATATAATTTTATTTATAAGTAATAATTGTTAGATTTTAATAATAAAACATTCTCTAGGAACCCCCATTTAACTGTAACATTATTGATCACATTAAAATGTCTTCCTACCGTGGAATTTGACTGAAAGTGGTATTATATTTTATGAATAACAACTTTAAATTGGAATAATCTTATTTGAATATTCTGATCCCGACACTCATTTTAAAAGAATATTTAAAATTTGATGAGTGCCTAAATTTATATCATTATTCACATTCACTAGGCAAAGGGTGGGGGGGGGGGGGGGTGCTAAAAAATTCTGATATTAAATTACGATTATTTTTTACAGATTATTTGTTTATAATTAGCTAGAAACTTTAATAGATAATCAACTATTAAATTTAACATATTGAAGTTATCCATCCATTGAAATAAAATTCTTCTGGTTTGTTTTTATAATGAATTAAATTGGACATAATATTTAATGAATTTAATCCAAATATTATTATTTTTGATATAAAAACATAGATAAGATACAAGTAATCGATACTTTTGATAAAAGTTTAACTAAATAGAGATATCACATTTTTTATCTAGATACTTTAATAACCTTTGATTCTATCTTAGAATGAATACCTTAAATGGTCCTCCTTTATTAAATATTGAGGGCTATAAATTTTAAAATTTTTAAACCTTTATATCAAAAATATTGAAATATTTATCAAACAATCAATCTATTCTAGACAAAATATCAAGAGAGGACGAAAAATTTTTAAGCTTAAAAGTTTATGCAGTTCATAGACTTGCTTATTCAAATTCTATCGGTTTGCTACAATTTTGAGAATTGTGTACTTTAGAAGTCTCTAGGTTTTGAGTAATGGCTCTAATTCAGCTATATTTTATATGATTTTTGTTAAAATTATTTATTTTTCCCTAACACACATATTCCTGAACCCTAACCTAAACTCGAATGTTCCCAAATCTGAGATCGAACACTTTATCTTTTTCTGAATTCCAGTCCGAAATTTTTAGCGGATTTACAGGATTGGAGAAGAATCCTTGTTACGTCACTGATAGCTGAATTTCTACTTAAAATTAGTTGGGCTCATAAATACGAAATAAATTAGTGCGTCTGGTTTGTTTTTATAATGAATTAAATTGGACATAATATTTAATGAATTTAATCCAAATATTATTATTTTTGATATAAAAACATAGATAAGATACAAGTAATCGATACTTTTGATAAAAGTTTATCTAAATAGAGATATCACATTTTTTATCTAGATACTTTAATAACCTTTGATTCTATCTTAGAATGAATACCTTAAATGGTCCTCCTTTATTAAATATTGAGGGCTATAAATTTTAAAATTTTTAAACCTTTATATCAAAAATATTGAAATATTTATCAAACAATCAATCTATTCTAGACAAAATATCAAGAGAGGACGAAAAATTTTTAAGCTTAAAAGTTTATGCAGTTCATAGACTTGCTTATTCAAATTCTATCGGTTTGCTACAATTTTGAGAATTGTGTACTTTAGAAGTCTCTAGGTTTTGAGTAATGGCTCTAATTCAGCTATATTTTATATGATTTTTGTTAAAATTATTTATTTTTCCCTAACACACATATTCCTGAACCCTAACCTAAACTCGAATGTTCCCAAATCTGAGATCGAACACTTTATCTTTTTTCTGAATTCCAGTCCGAAATTTTTAGCGGATTTACAGGATTGGAGAAGAATCCTTGTTACGTCACTGATAGCTGAATTTCTACTTAAAATTAGTTGGGCTCATAAATACGAAATAAATTAGTGGCTATTTGTTATAAAACATGAACGGTTGGAATTTATTTTATTAAATCCACAATTTTTAAAAATAACCGAAATAGATCAGTATTATGACTAATGTCGGGCATCGTATGATCAGATCGTGATTTAATCAATTTAGCAGGTCCGATCTCCTTTCTCAAAGGTAATTTTATATTTTACGAAAGGCTTAAAGCGCCTTATATTAAATATATTTTAACAATAAAAATTTAATTTGATGATTTCATTAAAACATAGATATTGGATATGGACTAGGTTTATATTTACATCTTTTAATCTCAAATAGTTTTATAGTTTTAAGGTACCCACTAAAAATCTTACCTGATCTTTACAGCCAATACATTTTTTATGCAACTCGCTCTAGCATAAGCAACAAGCTCATCTCTAGTTAGACATTCCCCATGAGGTGTATTTGTGAACTTAATATACATCAAAAAAGTAACATCTTAGAAAACGACTATCTTGACTCCTAAATTATAAATAATTCCTTATAGAATCTTAAATCTATTTAATGATCTGATACTTACTAGTTGAGCTTAATATCAGGGGCGTCACTAGCTTTTACAATCTCAGGGGGCTCAAAAATGTTTTTTTTTTAAAAATGTTTCAAAATTACCTTTTTATTTATTTTAGCTAACATTATCAAAATTATATAAAAAAAATTCAAAATTTTGAAAGGGCCCTTCAAATTTTTTAGGAAGTCTGACCCCCTACGTGCCTCCCCCTAGCGCTACTGTTTAATATAAATCTGTAACAGTCTGGGTAACACTTCTAAATGAATCAAGAACTGGCCCTAAAGAACTTCGATTCTTAACAGTTCACATTTTAAAACAATCTCCAATATAACTGATAAGAAATAATGCTCGAATTTCAATTCTAATACACATCATATTGATTAGAACCCTCAGATTTCTTAGCCATCCTATAACAAACCAAACACATCTATTTATGAATTTTAACCTTTATAAATGGGCATCTTAAACTTGTCAATATAATCTTACAAGCTTAAAAAATAAAATTATGTATACATGAAGAAACTAAAGTTCCGCCTATCAAAATATTTGTTATTGGCTACTGGCTGATTCCCTTGGCATAAAAAAATGACGTTAATTGTATATAATAAATTCTAAACTTATATATTGCAAAAAAGAAATTCTTAATATGCTTGTGAGAAAAGGGTGCCAAGGCCATTATTTCGACCAGATGATATTATTTTTTTAAAATAAGACTATTTTTAAAAATATTTCATAATAATAACATTTCTATCTAAATAACATTTCTGTCTAATGTTAATGCCATATACAATCTGAGTAAATATACCCTATTTGAACTAAGGATAATATTTTTTTGTGAACACAACTGTATAAAATTATAAAAGTAGTTTTTAAAGCATATTTTAAAATAAATAACAACAAAAACGAATATATTGGAAATCATTCATTTTTATCGAAAACAAATAGGGGAGACCGGGGATAGTGTGTTCCCGGGGTAGGTATTTCCTTCTTAAATAATTTAAAAATTAATAAAGTTTAAGATTTGTAATTTAAGCCAAATATGTATTATAATAAGGTGCTTAAGTAGATCCAAAATTGTTTCGGACAAAATTGCTCATGAAAAATTTTAAATGCAAATTTAAGTTTCAACATACCCAAAGTAACTTTTTTAAATTTTACATTTTCACGAATAACTTTTTTTATAAAAGTTGTTCAGACTTAATATAAATTCTAAATGATAAAAAAATCTCCATTTTATCATATATAAAAATATTGACAATCATTATGTTATTTTAATATTCTAAATTTAATTTTTAAATGATCCTGTGGACCTGGGGAAGGTATTAGCGGGGTGCGTCTTTTCCTTTTACATACATTCATTAAAATATTGGTTCTGATTTTGTAAAATGGTTCGAACATATATTAGAAAAACTAACAAAGAAAATAATGATAATCAAAAGGCAAGTATTCTTCAAATGCTGAAATATAAGATACCTTTGACAGTTATAACCAAGAATACGAATTTAAGTTATGGGAGGTATATTTATATATTTAAATTAGTATATATTTAAGAAACTAAGCATTAAGAGGTATAATAAATTGTTCAAAAGAAATGAAGATTTTCAAGAGCGATATCTTTACAGATCAGTATTTTCTCCTATTCAAGAAGCTAAATTAACAGATTATTTAATTAAAGGATCAAGATTATTTTCAGGATTATGCCCTAATCAAGTATTTTAATCCTTTGTTATATCATATATCTCTGTAAAATGATTTTTTTTATAATCTTTAAATTTATGTCATGGTATTTCTTTAGTTAAATAATAATAAACTTGAGAAAATTTTTTAAAATTATTTACATTATATGTTAATGAAACATCTTTATTAATTTTAAAATACTTTAAAGTAAGAATTTAACTTATACATTAGAATGATATTTATTTAAGTGTGTATGATATATATGTAAATAAAATGATGCTGCCATGTATATATATTAATTTTAAAATGATGCTGCCATGTATTAATATTAATTTTAAAATGATTTATTCAATGTAGCATTATATATATTATATCATGCATTAAATCATATCTTACCTATATATTAAAGATTTAATTATGTGTGAATGATATATATTTAAAACAAAATGATGCTGCCATGTATATTAATTTTAAAATGATTTATTCATTGATTTAGCATTAAATTATATCATGCATTAAAACATATTTTGGTTCTTACCTATACATTAGAGGTTTAATTATGTATGATATATTTTATTATATTAATTATTAAATAAATTCAGAATAAAATTTAAGAATTAGGATTTTAATTAGATTGCCTTAATATATAAATAATTTAATGTCTTATGTTTAAATTTAGGTTAGAGTTTTAGCTTATCAAATGGCCAAGAGGTATAGTTTACAAGTACCAAAATCTTGTGAAATAACTCAATCAGCTGGTGAAGACTGGGTTGGAGCATTTATTAAAAGAAATCCAACCATTTCTTTGAGAACACCAGAGGCTACAAGTATAGCCAGGGCTACCAATTTTAATATGAAAATGGTTGATTTATTTTTTAATTATTTGACTGTCACAAGGGAAAATAACTTTCTACCATGTGATATATATAATATGGATGAAACTGGTTAATTAAAATATAAATGATAGCAAATCTTTAATATTTTCATAGGATTAACAACAGTTCAACGGCCTAATAAAGTTATTGCAAGGAAAGGCGAAAAACAGGTTGTGGCAATTACTACATCAGAATGTGGTACACTTATGACCTTGGCAATTGCTGTCAATGCTCTAGGAAATTCTATTCCACCTATGTTTATATATCCCAGGAAAAAATTTTATGATCATTATTTAAGAGATGGCCCTGTAGGATGCATTGGCGTGTCTAATGGTTCTGGGTGGATGCTGGCTGAAGATTTTATATATTTTTAAAATCATTTTATAAAATACACTAAGCCCAGTCAAGATAAAAAAGTTTTGCTTATATTAGATAATCATAAATCTCACCAATCTATTGAAGTCATTGAGCTGTGCTCTGACAGTGGTATAGTTCTATTGACTCTCCCTCCCCTCTTCACCTTACAAAAAAATAGCCAGATCTAGGGCTAATAATCTGAAAAAAAAATCAAACCAATAATAAAAAAAGTTTAAATATGAATGCTGGCAAAAAAGAATTTTGTTTAGTGTGCCACAAAAACTATCAAACTCACCACCATAATGAAGATTGGATTGTCATTTATGGGCACATGGATCATGTTGTGATTTTAATCCATTTTTTATATGTAATAAATGTGTTGTATGTTAATATTATATGTTTGTTATGATTTTTATATGAAAAAAATGAATAAAATGCTTAGAAAATGATAGTCTAAAACATGCCCCACAAAAGGATAATACATCCCCCGTCTCTTTTTCATGACTCAAAAATTTTCATTTTTTTTAAATTTAAATTTAAAAAAATATATAATATTTTTTTATTAGATATTAATTTCTACCGTAGATAATTATATAAAGAATAAAATAACATCAAAATTATTTTGATAAATTATTTCTCCTCCTTTTCACAGCCTCTCAATTTTTTATGGACAATATAACCCCGGTCTCCCCTAATGGTGACTAGGGGAGACCAGGTTATATTGAACACAGGGGAACGTTAGGTCCCAGTTATATTTTGAGCTATTCTGGAAATTTTAACTTAACGTAGATAATTATGTCATACATGATTGTCTAAAAAAGATTTGAAAAATATTTAGTATTTTAATATTTACCGAATAAAAAGTGATTTAGGAAACCAAAAGTAATAAAAATAAATTGCAAACTCTATCCTTTATATCTATAATTAAAACATTTAAAATCTTATTAAATAAATTTTAAGAAAGTTTAAACCCTATTTTTTAATCTAACAAATCTTCAGAATTAATTAACAGGAATTATTACGTTTTTGAATGATATTTACATAGTTATAGGGCTTGATCATAGTTGGTAATAGTATAGTCGTGACACGTTATTTTAGCTCATTTTACTATTTACTAGTAGAGCAAAATTATAAAGAGGAGAGGAAGATCTTTGTACAGAATATTATGGAAAAGCCTTAATATCCCAAAACATTAGTCATAAATTTATCGTTACCTATAGGTAAAATTATTTATATTTTTTTAGGCACTCTAAAATCAATATTGTAATGTTATGTATTAAATATTATTAATTAAATCAAATGTGTCATAATCTTTAGTCTTACCGAAATGCCGATTTTGAACCTAGAGTATGTCATAGTTGGAACAAATAATTTTTTTTAAAAATTAATATATTAATTATTTCAAATAATATACTTTAAGCAGTGACCCCTACAACGGGGGGGGGGGTCCGAAGCAACTGCTTCTATAAATTTCTATGGGGGTACTTTTTTTTTTTAAATTTTTTTAATTTTTTATTTTAAAATTTTAAAAAAATTTTTTTATTTTATTATTTTAAAAATTTTTATGGTCGATGTTTAGCAAATTAGTTTGTTATCCGATATTTCTTATCATAAAATTATTTTTCCACTTTCAAGATTTGGCGCAAAATTAAAATTTTATCAAAGGGAATAGTAAAAATTTAAATATTAAATCTTATATATAATCATTTATAATTTTTAGATCATTGTCAAAATATGCCCAAAAATATTAACCAAAAAAAATATAAATGCTTATCCCGCAATCAAGCCTTCTGGGGGAACAGGCAACAAGATGGCAATATGATGAGCCTTATTAAACTTATTGCAGATTCTGAGCCTGTTCTTAAAATGTATATACAAGATAATGAAGAAAGAAGAAGTGAGAAAAAAATTAAGGGATTAAAATCTAAATTATATTCAAATCTGTTATCATATAATAACATAAATATTCTTATTGAAACCATGAAAAATATGGTTATAAAAAAAATTCAAAAGGAGATTGAATTCAACAGGTGCTATTCAATTATAGTTGATGGCACATATGATGTATCGAAATCAGAAGCAATAGCTTTGATAGTGAGATATGTTGAAAATAGCGAGACACCTAAGCCCGTTGAAAGGCTGATAGACATTTATTGTACGGGAAATACAACGGGCCTCGATATTAAAAAGAATATAATATCCAAGCTTGGCTCCATGAATCTACCCCTCGAATTCCTAGTGGGGCAAAGCTATGATGGCGCCTCAAACATGAGTGGAAGAATTAATGGAGTGCAGGCTTTGATTAGAGCGGAGGCGCCAAAGGCAGCTTTTATTTGGTGCTATTGTCATCGATTAAATTTAATAGTTGTTCAATTATGCCAATCAGTAAAAGAGCTGCGAAATGTCTTGGGAATATTAGACGAAATTTACGTATATTTTAATGGTGTTAAAAGATATGAAGTACTCAAAACATGTCAGAGTGATTTACTGACAAAATCACATAGATTTTTACGCATCACCACTCGGTAATATTATCTTAATTGTTTCGATATATAATGTTTATTTTATATTTATAGAAGCTGGTCATATAAGGCGATTGTAATTTTTTTCCTACTTTATGATGCTTTGAGGGCAGCTTTGGCAAATTTAAAGGATTCTGAAGATCCTGCCACTTCCACTATGGCTAGTGCTATAGTCTATAGAATAGAAAAATTTGATTTTATTTTATCACTATGTGTTTTGGATAAAATATTGTTGATAACAAGCTTGGCTTGTACAAAATTGCAAACCATTTCGAAGGATATAGGGTTTGCAATAAATCAAATTCAATTGGTAAAAGATTGCCTGATTAATCTGAGAAGTATAATTTAAATTATTATCTTTTATTATTTTATAATCCTAAAATAGATAATAACACTGAATTTTTGGATGTCTTTTCAAAGGCCCAAGATTTTACGAAGAAGAGAAATTTACCTTTTGATTTTGAAAGTTCAAGACTTCAAACATTACAATCCAAAAAGGAGAGATATATATATACTTTCATCATTAAATATAATATTTTATTTTAGCTTTAAAATCAGTGTTTTATGCTGCACTTGTTTTAGTTATTATGCAGTTTAGTGAAAGATTTAACGATGAATCGATAAAATTTTTGAGTCAAACATCATTTTTTACCCCAAAGGGAATGGCGGAAAAGGCAATTGTTAAAGATGATATCAAGGATATCTGTGAATTTTATCAATTAAATACAAATCAAGTTTTTGAGGAAATGTTGATGTTTAGAAATATTTATAAAATGGCTAAAACGGGGGACGTAATTATTACTCGTGACCTAGAGGTTAAAGAAGATTTGTCAGATTCTGAGAATTGTAAATTTATTTAATTAAAATATTTTTACTAATACATTATTTAGCTTCTTCTGATGATGATAATATGAATGATTCAGACTGGAGAAACTATTCATTTATTTTACCTTATCATCTGCTTATAAATTTTTCTGCTTTCCCAAATTTAACAATATTATATAAATATTTATTAACTATTCCTACTACATCATGTACTGCCGAAAGGGTCATGAGTAAAATTAAACTAATTAAAACAAGACTTCGTAGTGTCATGAAAGATCCATTTCTTAATAATTTAACCATTTTATCAATGGAAAATAATTTATTTAAACAATTAAATATTGATAAAATTATAAATTCTTTTGCTTTCTCTTCCCCTAATTTATCAATTATTAATTTAAAAATAATATTTTTAAAGCATATATTTTTTACATTATATTTATATTATAATAAATATTGATGCAATAAAAATTATTTTTAAAATTTATTGGTGTCAAAAAATAATTTACAATGGGGGGGGGGGTACTTTAGGGGGGTATTCTGCTTCTATCCCTCAAAAAGTGTAGGGGTCACTGACTTTAAGGATACAGAAGATGTTTTATATTCAGATTAGTCTAATATTATTGAATTTATATAGGTGAGAACAAAAAATTCCAACCATCCCCGTTCCTTAATAATTTTTATCCTTCTCCTAAATGGAAAATTAGCACATTTGTGTATTTTGGCATTTTAAGCTAGTTGTCATTAATGTATCATTATTACATAAATTATGCTTATAACTAAGCAATTCGGTTATCTATTACTAATAATTATATTTTACCATAATAAACTTCATAATTAATAACTAATTCATATTCGCGAATCCCTGGTGTCTAGTATAGAAAGAACATGAGAGAAATATGCATTTATTAAAGTGAGCCCCCCCCCCGTTCCATCCAAGCCAAAAGTATAAAATACTTTAAACACCTAAATCTTAATAAGCTACCATTTCGAAATCAAGTATATAAATTTGGTTGTTAAATATTTCTTAGAAATAGTTTTTAAATACTTAACAATTAATTTTATAAAAATAATTCATATCGAATATTTAATTAAAAGACATGAAAATCGAATCGAATATAAAGTATTTGATTCGATTTGATTTTACAAGATCTATACGGATAAACTTGCATATTAATCAGTTTGAGTAGTTCTGATATCTCTAAGATGTATAGACTATAAATAAATTGTGCGCCTGCCTGCTTTAAAATTTGGTCAAAATTTATATAAACCCATTATTGTATACTATTAAAATATTGTCTTGTCTTGATAATTTAGGTACTTGCTCTATTTCGCTATATGGGCAAATATTATTTTTTTCTAATTATAGTTATAAACGATGGACCATAAAACTAATGATATTATTTTAAACTGATTTATAATTGTTGAATTTTGAATAGCAGAAATTTTATATCTGAAATAAATAAACAACTTTTAAAGGTACCAGTAGATCTTTAATTTGGGCCTAAAATCTTAATTTCTTATAACCTTCCCTACATTTATTAAAACTATTTCATTAAATAAATTATATTATACAATAATATTCTATAAACCTATTTAATGGATGCCGTTTTGAATAAAATTTACTCTTTACTTTTCTTAGTTGAAAAATTACGTAAAATTTTTTTTAAAAAAAATTAAAATAAATATTGATAGTTTGGAAAGGTTGTGTATTTTTTTTTATAGTAATAGATAAAAAAAAAATTCGTGTATTTTATTTTTATTTTTACCTGTAATTTTTTTGTTTGATCAAATTTATTTTATTTTATTTTAAAAATCGAAGGAAAAAAAAATCAATCAATAATTAGGGATATATATCTGTTAAGTTATTTCTTTACAATAATTTCCAATTTTTAAAAACTATTTAAAAAAAATAATTAAACCTAATTTTGTTTTATTTTAAAAATTGAGAATAAAAATTATATAATCAGAAATCAAAATGCTGACTATAGTATATAAAAATGAATAATATGAATATTATTTGGTCAAAATTATAAATCAAAATTCAAAGAGTGGTGTATCAATTCTCGAATGGATTTGAAGGTAAAAAAATGAAGATACATTATGAATTTTTTTTAGGAAGCATTTATAGCGCAATTTTTATTTTATTCTCTTATTGTTATGGGGAGCCATCTCGAGCTAAAATGATAATCACTATATATATGTCGTCCTAGGTTTGTTTTTAAGAACTTTTTAAAAGAGATAATATTTTTGGAACTTGTTTAAAATGAATTTTGCTTTTGAACATGCTTTTGCTTTTTTCTGGCGATCCCACTAAAATTAATCTTTTTCCTATTAAAAAAAGATTAATTTTAATCAAATTAAATCGAAACAAATAATATTAAGATGATATATATAATAGATTCTAGCAGATTTCTTTAGAATTATAAATGAATTTGTAAATGTTATAATAAATAGCATATTATAGCTAGTAAGAGCATATTTTTAAATTTAGGCATATATTGAATATTCAGTAAATCTTAATTATTTTATATAATTTTTTTATTAAAAATAGGCGATTATTGCTCTATTTTATTGACAAATAATTTTTAAATTATTTCTAGAAAAGGTTAAAATGTAAAGGGTTTATTAGATAACAAAAAAAATTTTCAGGTTATAAAGATCTCCCAAAAAGATAATATTCATAGCAGTTTTTAATATAAATCAAAATAATTGATACGAAAAGAAGCAGGTAATCTAAAGTATTCTTGCAATAAATTAAAGTGTTAAAAATTTTGACAATACTTATATATTTCTAAAAAAAATTACGATATAAAGAAATATTTCATTAAACAAATAAATTTTATATTGATTAATTTATAGTAGAGAAAATCCGTGAAAAATATTTTATAAATTTTAGTCAAATGTGAAACTTCTTTTCTCTCTTTCTCTCTCTCTCTATATATATAAGGAAACAAATCCAAATTATGATACTCGTAAAAAAATCGGTTCCCCTAACTATAAAGGCAGTGATAGGAAGAGTAGTTTCAGGAACGAAGTGAAAGGCTGTTGGAAGGGTTTCAAGGAGTTTATTACCAAACGAATCCAGCTCTCTCGACTGGCTTTGATATTAGGACTTCTCTTGTTACTCTTAATGGTAATTTTGGCTAGCCTCTTATTTTGTAAGTAGTTTGTATAAAGAATTGTTATTTTTTTTAAAAATAAAAATATAATAAATTAAGGGGTAAATTATCATCTAAATATAATTATAGACGTAGCCAAGATTTTTTGAGTGGATTTTTTTCCATAATATTTATTGGAGGGCTTTAGGCCGGCTTGTTGTAGGCCTTTGTTTAAGTTACATTTTTTAAAAATAATTTTGATTCTAAGGCTGTGACCTAAATATCAAAAATATAATTCGAAAACTTTCGTAACTTTTACGAAAAATTCGTAACTTTTACGAAAAAGAAATAAGTTATTTTTAATAAAAAAAAAATCGTTGCAAAATTCATTTTTTCGAATTTATGAAAGTTTATTAATTTTTTAAAGTTAGAGAAATTAATTAAAATTTAATAAATTTTTGGTTGTTTATAAAACTGTAAAATATTTACGAAAAAAAACAATATTAATTTACATTTAAATTATAATAAGAAATGGGCAGTTATATTCATCAAATGAGAAATGTTTAAATTAAATGGGAAGGGAAGTATAAAAATAATTTGGTAGAATTTTAAATTCAAAAATTTACAAAACTTTTAAAAAATTTTAATGAAGATTTTGGACATGTTTAATAATTTTATAAAGTTAAGGAAGTTTTGAATGTAATGTTGTATTCAATTTTTTTCGAGAATTTATATTAGTTTAAAATTGTATTTAGCAAAACTTGCAAAAGGAAAATCTCTTCCCTATGCCCCACTTTTACCTCTGAATTCAATAAATTATTCATCAAATTATTTCATTTCGAATGATCTTATACATAATAAAGCAAACTTTTCCATTTTAAATTGGGTTGATATTTAATTTTTTTCATTAGTAAGTTTTTTTTTCTCGTTTCCTTTATACTGTTTTAGGCTTATTTTTGATGTACAATCGATTCGAAAAACTAGAATTTAGGTGAATTACAAATTTTCTTTAAATATTGTTAATAAAAATTAATTAATTAATTCATGAATTAAATTCGTTTTATTAATATTAAGAACATCCTAATGAAAAAACGAAAAATATAATAATTCGAATATTTTATAATTGATTTATAATGACAGTTAATCTCCATAATAAATGCCTTTACCCCCCCCCCCCCATCTCTCTATAAAAGAATCACTTTGACCGAAAACCGAATAATAATATACTTGCTGAAATTTACCACCTTCCATTTTGAAATGAGAATCAAATCTTTATATCTTGAAGAATAAATTCCATCGAGGTTTGAAGGTCTTTTAATTGGTCATAAAACAAATATATAAGAAAACAAATTTATATAAAGATTTCTTTTTTTAACACTATGGCGCAAGGGCGTAGCCAAGAGTTTTCTACGGGGGATAGGGGGGGGATCATATTTTATTACATTGAATAATTTTTTTGTAACATTAACAATTAATTAGAATCATTATATAATTTTATTAAAATCAATCATATTTACAAATTGATAATTTTGATCACAAATCTTAAAATATTGGAAAATTCTAAATATTTAAGAGCAAATATAACATAATAAAAATATTATAGCTATATAACCCAGTATGTAAACAACAAAATATAGAATTAAACCTTATGATGATAAAGTTAATCAATTCATAAATGGAAATTTAATTTTCTTTGCGCTTGCGCTGATTTTTTTTATGATTCTCTATTTATATTAGCCTGTGTCCTAAATATCAAAAATATAAATAAATAAATTTATTAATTTTGAAGGAAAAAAATACATAAGCTATTTTTAAGACCGTGTCCTAAATGTTTTGAAAAAAATCCCAAATATAAATTTTCGCAAATTTTCACAAATTAATAAAATTATAAAAAAATAAATAAAAAAAACCATCAAAAAAATAAAAAAAATAAAAAAAACCATCAAAAAACTAAAACGAAACATAAAACAAAACATAAAACAAAACATAAAACAAAACAAACAAGTACTTTAATATTTACTATTTTATAAAAATTACCCAAATAAATAAATTTTGGAAAATTTTATTAAAATTTATTAATTTCTATTATTTTTTTAAAAAAAATTGTTTTTAACGAAAAATGATTTCGAACATTATTTTATTTTCATATTAAAAATAACTTATGTTATTTTTTTCTTCAAAATTAACAAATTTTTTATTTATATTTTTTAGATTTAGGACACAGCCTTAATGTAAAAATAAAATAGCGTTCTAGATCATTTTTCGTCATTTATAAAAATTTATTATTTTTTAAAAATGATAGAAATAAATAAATTTTAATAAAATTTTGCTTAATAATTAAATTTGTGTACGTTATATGAGAAAAAAACTTGTAAGTAATATAAGTATTTGGTGGTATTGTTATTTTTAGTATTTTATTCTCATTTTTTTCGTTTTTTTCGTTTTTTTTATTTTTTGGTTGTTTTTTTAGTTTTTGTTATGATCGTTTTTTATATTTTAATTTTTAAAAAACTTTAGGAAAGTTAATAAAAGATTTCGGGCATGTTTCATAATTTTATTAATTTGCCAAAATTTATAAATTTTAAGGATTTTTCAATATATTTAGGACACAGCTTTAAGTGCTGGTTCATTCAATTGATTTTCTGATGCCGTACTTCTGAAGGGGTTTTATTCTCCTTAATGAAGTAAACCTCTCATTTATACTTTAGTAATAGAAATTATTGCCAAAATATCGGTAATTTGCTAATTAGGAAAAAAATTACAAAATATATTTTAAAGTATACAATGTTTCCACGTTCTTAAAGGATAATTTATTAAAATTAATCTTTCATACCAAGATATATCTTAAATAATTGTCCATATTGAACGAAATTTTTCATACCAATATCAATATCAAGTTCTTAAGATGGATTTTTAGGTAATAAATAGCATTTTTATATGGATAGAGCCATTTTGAATCACAAATCGTTCATAGTCAAAAAGTATTCAAAAGTGGAATAAAAACGGTTATTCTATAATACCCTCAAATGAGTCCGCGTTAATATTGAAACGATTGTTTGCCTAGGTCGAGATTTACAAATTTCAAAATCATATAATATCGCATTAGCTGAATATATATAAATCTCATGATTTATTGGCCGATATTATTTCTTAGTTTTCTTAGTTGTAATATAATAATATTCGTATAAAACCACAGTCAAATCCATATTAATATTTTAAAAAATATTGCCTAAAATTGTTGTGCAATTAAATAATTTATTAATATATTCCAATGCTAAAAAAATAGACTGTCTTATTGAATCTAATAATGTATCTGCTTCAAATGAAATTTTGGTTCAGGCTATTCTGCTATTTCTCCAAGGGCGATCTAAATAAACTCTTCAAGATCCAAACGAAAGCTCCATAGTGTCTGGCATGCTTTTTGCATTTTTTTCTTCTTGTTGCACAAGATCTTAAAAATAATTCTATTCAGAATAATATATCTAATGATTCCTAGCCTCCATACTTTATTTCTTCAATATTTATATTTTTAGATTCTTCATTTAGTTCAATAGTTTTATTTGTATTATTTATGCATCAGATTGTGACGATTAATAATTAGTTATTTTTCTGGAACTATTATTGGGTTTAGTTTATAAATTTTATAAATTACTTTTAGGTTTTTGGTTGATAAAATTTTCTTATGAATATATGCTTCATATTTTCCTGGGAAAAATTTTATTACACAAGAAAGAAATATAAAAATTAATTTAACTTTTTGCTAAAATTTATAGAATATAATCTATTTGAAATAAATACTTTGCATTTCACATTTCATGAAACCTTTTATATTTTTCAAAAAAAATTGTAAGAGTGGGTGGGGAGGGTTGGGAGAGCTGTACATGCCTGCTTTTCTGACATAAATTATTACTTTAAATTTTAAACAAAAATGATCATAAGATAAATATATTGCGGTTCTGGCAAATTTAAAGAGAGATCCCACTATACACATTCCTACCGTACCCTCCACCACCAGATTTCCAAATTATCCTATATCTTACACTTCAGATCGTGTTACGTTTAGAACTTCGCATAGTATTCCATCATGGCAAACTTCCAGATTCGATATAGGTGGAAATGTGACAACTTCGCACTTCCCGATATCGGAAGTCTCTAGTCCCACTTGGACACCTAGAACTACTCCTTTTGAACAACCATCGATAACGACAGATATGGTAGACCATAATACCACAAGTTATGTAACCGAAAGTCCCGAAACCGAGAAACCCGTGATAACCACTGAACTATTTACAACTGAGTATACCCCATTTTCACTTTCGCCAGGTTCAACTTCTAAACCTCCACCCGTATACACAACTCAAGAACAAGAATTTACAACAGTATTATATATATTATCTTATTTTAATATATTACGAAGATTAATTTAATTAAGGTCATATTGCCTAGGTAATCATTACTATTATAGCAAATGTTTAATTTATTCTGTAAATGGTTTAAATCGTGTATGAGCCACTTTAGAGAACAATCATTTATTTAAGAAATAGCTTTTATTAAGGAATTCTTTTATATATTATATATAAAGCTTATTCCTAAGGGCAAATTCTAAAGGGCGCATTTTTATGGGCATGTTCCTATTTACTTACCTTCTGCCGTTTTTGCCTTGCCTTCGGCCTCACTTTGGCTTTTTCTAAATAGTTTTTATATCTTTTATAATACAAGGTCAAAACAATCCAGGTTAATAATAGCAATTTATATGAATAAACATTAGAAAATTATATCTAAAATGATATAATTTTCTAAATTTATGAGAAATAGGCATAGATATAACTTATTTTCTAGTGTTTTTCTCTAAAAGGAGGCTTCGTCAATGTATTTATTGCCGAGCTGAGTGTCTAAGCGTATATCAAGTATAGTGCCAGCAAATTTTTAGACCCTAGATATAGTATATTGCACTTTGAATGGCTAATGAATCTTCCCTTACAACGCTTGCAGTGCAAAGAGTGGAGGATTTAGGAGTTAACTGATGTCAGAGAATACAGTGATAGGGTATTATCATTTGGTAAAACTCCTAATTTGTCCTCTCCAATACTGGCACTAAATCTATTTTTTATTATTTTTAATTTACTAAAGTATTTCGCTCATAGTTTACTTGAGTAACTGATAATGTTAATATAAGTTCGTAAGCAAGAAGAAATAAGTAGGTGTATGACTGTAACTATGCAGAGAGTCACACAGTTAACTTATACAATCTTTACATTTATTACAATGTAATTCATTGTTCTCCGAATCTGAGACTTCTTCCCATTTCATATTTTGCGCGATTTTTTTTGGATATCGCATTTGCAGGATTTTTATTTGAATAGCAAAAAAAAATAATATCCGTCATTCCTGACAGTGGATTTTTAGTTAATTCGGTTATTGTAACTAGTGATTATTAATATGCTAAAATTTATTGGGTGAAAATATTGTAACACCGATAAGGCCTTAATTTTTAGAAAATTTCTCAACTATTAATTATTTGATCTATTATAGGCCGAAACACCCATTCTAATTATTAAGTCATTCATCTCTATATTCATCTAATATATTCTTTTTGTATAACTAATTCTATGAAAGGGTAATTCATATTCCTTGACAATATTTTCAAGTCATTTAATTTGAGTGCTTATCTTTTGCTTTATTTTCAATTGAGATTAAAATCCAAATAACTATTTTAAAAATTATGCTGCTAATAATGCATGCTTGTGTTTCGGAAGAAGTTTTAGCTTGAACGATTGTGAACCTATAATATATTGTAAGGCGCTTATTGTAATAGATATGAATATTTTTCATATACCCATGTGACAGCTTTTTCCCGAGCCCACTATCTTGTTTCCCCTATCTTTTTAAGCGTTTGAAAATCTCTGGCCTGCAGAATTATTTCTATTCTCCCATACTTTCATACGTTTATAGAATTCTCCAAAAAATGTTGCAAGTCTATTAAGAAGTCACAATAAATTCTTAGATTTAATATTCTTGCAGGTGTATATAAGGTATGATTTGATAGGCCTGCATTCCTTTAAATTCACTGAGCAATTCGCAGCCCCATCAAATGATCTCGAATTGGATGTCATGCTTTTTAAAACAGCCGTGAAACTAAATCGTATTATCTTTGTCCGGATGAATTAGCTATTTTTTATATAACGCGAAAAGTCGTTTATATTTCTATTAGCTATGTCGGGTTTGTCCAAAACAAAATTGAAATTAATGAATGCATATGAATACAATTTCTATGTTATGAGATGTTTAAGATTGTTTTTTTTGTTTGTCATAGTATATATAAAATATAAATATTTTGATGATTATGTATTTTTTAATAAGCATTTTCTTCAATAGCCAAAAATTATATGTATCTAAATCGGACCAAAAAAATCTGTAATTTCAATCAAAACAAATTCGAATTTAATATACACCAAAATAATATGTATTTTAATCAAAATTTTATGTATTATGTCCTAACCCTGTGGATATTTTGCCCACCTATCTTAATGGCCATTCCGCCAAAGTTTACCACCAAAATTTCGCTCGAAGATAAGAATTCTCAAAGTTAAATGGGATTGTAGCTAGGACTAACTTCTTTCATATTACATCAAATATATTATCTTATCGTTTTCCTGTATATAAAAATATGGTAATGGCATTTCTGAATAAACCAGACAGATTTTAAATATTGTTGAATTTTTTAGAGTGGAGTATCATCTAAGAATAATTTAAATCTATATCACATGTTAAAAACATTTGAATAAGGGTTAAAATTTATAAAGTAAGTAACGAAATCCAAAAATATAATCATTATAGAGTTTCATTTTCAAGATTTTAGAATTACAAGCGCGTTGTTTCTTGTAACGTAATCTATCTATAGTGTAATACTGACTGTTACTCTCTACTCATCCCTGCACAAATAAAGTTAAACGTTACTCTTACATTAAAGCCCCACTACTATCATATTACATAATTCAAAATTTTGTTAATAATTAGAAAAATAAATATAACATCTGAAAAAAATTAGAAAATATATTAAATATTTAAGACTACAGAAACAAAAGAAACATCGGATATTCTGCCTGAATACATAACAACATTTGAAACTAAACCACCATCGGATTCTTCTTCCCCCCCTGATATGAATACTGAACCACCTCAACCTGATTCTTCCACAGATAATGGAACCTTCTCACCCATTCCACTAAATAACAGATCACTTCAACCTCCCTTTAGAGACCCTCAGTTTCCTTCAAATAATGGCCAGTCTTCCCCGGCTCAATCACCTTTACCTTCGTTTACCAATTCGACCCAAGAAAACAAAAACACTAGTATTATAAAACTAGATTTGTATAAACTAGTTCAAATTAAATTTCTACTTTAATTAGCTTAAAATATTTATAAGAACAGAATATTAATCTTGAATCTGTTCTATCGATTAATGTTTAAAATTAAATTTAAACAGATGAATAATAACTAATTCTGAATATCATTCAAACATATGACACAAAAATTATGTGAAACAAGGGACTCGAATCATTATTTATAAAGATCTGGCCGGTTCAGGAGCGAAAAATTAAAAAGGTTACGTTTCGGTTTTGATTAGAATGTATGCTGCTTTAATTTTAAAATGTACCGTTTTCGTAATACAGAAGTATACACAAAAACGGGAATCAGTTTAATTGGAAAAAAAATACATTATGGAGTATGGGCTGGGCTGTGACCTAAATATCAAAATATAATTTATTAAATTTATTAACTATAACGGAAAAAAGAGAAGTTATTTTTTATATTTTTTATGTAAAAATAGAAAAGTGGTCTAATCATTTTTTTCGAATTTTTAAAAAATTTTTAATTTAAAATAATAAAATTTAATAAATTTTAGTTTAGTTGTGAAATCTTTACGAGAAGAACAATAAGTAATATTAAGTTATATTTTTCAAATTATAATAAGAAATGGGCAGTTACATTATTCAAATTGGGAAGTATTTAAAATAAATGGGAATAATAAAAATTATTTGGTAGGATTTATAAATTTCAAAATTTAGAACTTTAAAAAAAATTTAATGGAAGATTTTTGTCAATTTATAAATTTTGAGGTTATTTAAAGGAAGTATAATAAATATTTAAAATATTTTAGTAACAAATCAGAACATATAAGCAATGTTCACGTTCGTGAACGAAGTTCGTTTTTTTGAAAAAAATTAACGACGTTCCTTTTATTTTTGACGAACTTTGAAGGTGAATGCCTTCTTCTTTTTTGATAAAAGAGTTCGTTTTTTAGGTTAAAAGAAATTTATATATATATTTTTATTGACTTTAAAACTATTAATTTTAAACATGGCTAAATATTGTGCTATAAAAAATATATGGTATTCATTTATATTAAATTAAATAAAATGAAATTTGAAAAAAAATTCATTCATAAAGTTTTGAACGAACGTAAACGAAAGTGAACGAGTTCATAAACGGAATACATTCCTTTTTTTGAAGATGATTGTTGAAAGAGATCGCGTTTGATTTTTGCCTAGAAATGTGTATAGGATTACATATAAGTAGTGTTCCAAAAGTTGACAATATTTAATTGAATAAGTTTTGATTTGCAATTTTTTTTCTAGAATATATTTACGATTTTATTTTAAAAATAATTTATCAAAATAAAATATATTTGATAAAAAACAAATTAAAAATTATATGAAAATAAAAATATATAAAACATTTAAAAAAAGAACTATGGATAGGCAGATTTCGATAGATGCTTATGAAGGTAAAGTCCTTAGTTGGGGTCACCTGTAATTGGTCTCATTTCTTTTCTTTTCTTATAGTTTTTATAAAATTGAGGGCCTTCTGTTCAAACATCCCTAAATCATTAGCGATTATTGGTATAAACTGTGTTTATGAGACTAGCATATTAATTTTTTTAAGAACTTCTGCCTAGTTGATGGTAGATAGAGGCTAGTCTTCGCTGAAAATCTATCTAAGTGTAGTCAAGGTCAATGAGGGAGACCGTTCTTTCAAGAGATAAGGAGTATACCATTATACCATCCGGGCATATGGCTTTTTCATTTGAAAGGCCCATTTTGAGTATAGCTATATAATCAAGCAATAAAAAATCAAAATATTTAAAAATATTATTTTTAAAAAATATTGTTTTTAAAAAATATTTGCTATATAAAGATAATAAAAACTCAACAGGAAAGTGATACTTGAATTTATTATCAAATATATGGTCTTAAATACAAATTTTTTATATATAACTAAATGATTTTAATTTAGGTTCGTGCCTATTAACAATTTGGTAAAAAATTTCGGTCACAGTTCAAAAAATGTAAATTCCGATATAACAATTCAGTTCGCTCCAAGTCCCTGTGTAAAACTGAGTTTGAGAAAGTGAGGGCGAACCTCGTATATTTTTCCAATAATATTTTAATAAAAGTGATCAATTAAAAATATTTTTGAATATTTAGAAATAAAACAGTTTTGATACTATCACAAGTATATTTAGTCAAAGGCTGTAACTAGAGAAGCAAGCATTTGGGGCCCAACCCCTCTCTTTTAGAATCATGGGCAAAAATATCCTGCAAAAAAATCCCAGATATAAAGACCCACGGACACTGGGCATAATACTAATTTTTAACAAAAAAATTGATTGCCCTGAAATGCGGAACATTTTTAAAATTATCCCTTTTTAAAGCATTGAAACAATTTTTTTAAATTGAGGTTATTTTTTCTGTGTCTTTTTATTAGTGGATCCTTTATCACTGTTTTTTTGTCCGTGGTACCTTTTCCGGTCTTTTTACCGAGGAAATTTGCAATATACCAGATCTAGCCTTTCTGGCCATTTTTATACACTTGTAGGTAAATTGTAATAAAAAATATATTATTATACATGATATATTTAATATTTTTATCAATTACATAATTCATATTCTAATCTTCTTATTTATGATATGATAGTGATCGAAATTAAGCAATTTTCGGTCGAACTCATTCGATATATGCTATGATTATTGGTGAAGGGGGATTAGCCCCCCCCCAATCCACAATGCCCATTATGGAAAATATCCTGGTTACGATTCTGAATTAGTCAGAGTTTGAATAATAAAAATAATAAATTTGTTCTTATTGCTAATATAATAAATAATCAGAATAATTTATATTTATGAAAAAATTTTGATTAACTATCTCGAAATATTAGATAGCGTAAGTTTTATAATCAAGGTAATTAGTTTTTCGAACCTCACTTTGGGGCATTTAATTTTTTTATTAATATTTAATATTTTTTAAAAAATATTTTACTTCATAAGTGTTTATTGATGTTAAATTTGTTGTTTAACCAATAAGTTATAATAATAAAAGAGGCCGTCTTTTATATTTAAGATAATTTTTTTTATTACCTTCCAAAAAAAGAAGGTTTCTTTGAAATTTAACCATGATAATAAATACTTTTTCTTTGTTGTTTTAAAATTGTGGATGGGCCTATCAAATTTTAGGTGTGATGATTAATTAAATTCATAATTATGATCATATAGAAATAAATTCAGAGCAGTAATTTTTTAGAATGTTTATATTATTTATACAAAGGCGTAACAGATACATCACAACCCCCACGATGCGGGCAGGCCCAATAAATTTTTGAAGATACTCAAGAGCAAATTATGAAAATAAGCCCTATAAAAATTTGTTTTTTGAGGTAGCGCGCTTCTAATTTGAAGGATCAGATTCATAGTCAATCATTTTTTTCATGAAATCTTTAATCGTTAATTAATATTCAGGAAAAATCGACTTAAATTAAACATGATTCAAAACTTTACAGAGAAATATTGCCTAATATTAATGTGGTAGGTTGGCATGTACTGTACATATAATAGAATATCCCGAAAAATGAAGTCTATAATTTTTTTTTAAAGTGGGCTATAATTGATGTTAAATTTTATAAATTCTTTCATACATTAGGCAATATCGGAACCGAATGAATCCAGATCCTATGATATATACTATGTGTTTATTTTATTATTATGTTTTAAAAACCATCATTCATTTAATAATGTAAATTACAATTTTAATTAGTGAATTCCATATCAAATCAGCTAAAAAAGGTCGATATTCAACCCGATTCCCTCAGAATTTTTTTAAATTTGGTATATCGGTAGTATATTAAGAAAAAAAATTAATTTCCTTACACCACTTACTCTCTAAGATATTGGGGTTTAAAGAGCGGTAAAATGGTATATATAAAATGCACTTCATTTATTTTTAAATATCTTAAAGAAAAAACAAAGTTAGAGCAATAATTTGAATTTTATTATATAGCTTAATAATAGATCTTTAATATGACATATAAATAAATGTACCAAAAATCGGAAGTACAAAACCAAAATGGGTCATAGAATGAATTTTTTTTAATTTTTTTATAGATGTTTTCCAGACTGCTTTGTATTTGTACAAAATCCTAGAATGGAAAAAACAGTGGGGATAATGATATTTAACATTTTGGCTAAATTTTCTTTTGAAATTACTTAGCAAAATAATTTTATATTTTATTTTACCATGAATTAAAAATTAACTAAAATAAAGGCTTTATTTATTATTTGGCCCATATTTATTCAATAGATTATATAGCATTTCTTGAAACGCTGACAAAATCCGTTAACAAATTTGTAGATTATTTAATTAAAAAATTAAATAATTTTATTCCTCATTTTCTTATAGCTTAACAACAATTCTTATTTCAAAATTCATTAAAAATTTATATGTAGATGAATTCTTAGTTATTGCTGACCTTTCAAAAAATTATGCATTTGTAGTGCAGGATCATGCACAAGGATTATATTAGACCTATAATCAGGCCACTATTCACTTTTTATGATTTATACTGTTAAGACAATTAATCAAGTAAATTTTGTTGTTATATCAGATTGTTTAAGCACAACGTAGGTGCATTTTATTATTTCAAACAAAATTGGTCCTATTCTTTAATAAAAGATTCGGCAGAGTAGACAAAATTCATTATTTTTCTGATGGTGAAGTTACCCAATATAAAATTCATTAACCTCTACCATCTTGAAAATGATTTTGGGATAAAGGCAGAGTGGTATTTCTTTGCAACCGCACCTTGTAAAGGTATAATTTTTAAATGAATTATTAGGTAAATAGCCATTAAATTTAAATATGATAATATTTTATGTTAAATTTGATCAATTTCAATCATATAAAGACTCCTAGCACGTTCATCCCTGTCCAGTATTTTGTATAAATATAAAGGAGTCTAGTAAACATCCACAGAAAAAAAGTTTTGGAAAAAAATGCCTTTACAGTTTTATACTCCCAGATTTTGGTATTAATCGGGCTTCTATTACATTTTTTATATGTAATATTAAAGATTAAATTATTGCTAACTTAATTTTTTCTTGGAATATTGTAATTAATGAAGTGCATTATTCCACTGTACCATTTTTCAGCTCTTTAAACCCCTATATCTTAGCGAATAGGTGATTTAAGGAAGTAAAATTTTATTTTTTTTCTTAATTATAAATTCTACCAATATTCAAAATTTATAATGATTTTGAGGGAGTTGGGTTGAAGACCTAGTAAATTTGATACGGAATTTACCATATATCGAATTTATTTTCTAACTTGTTAATTTTTATTCATGCCCGAAATCGCATTTTAATTGCTTCAACTAACATATTTATAAGGGCTCTTATAATTAAGAAATAATTTTAAAGGCGTCTCTGATAAGGTCACAATTATTTTGGTAAGCCTAACCCTTATAAACCCAATAAAATAATTCCATAGAGTCAAAATGATATCATAATCTCACCACGAACTAAATTGCACATATATCATAACGGATATGGAATCCATAAAGATTCAGAATATCATTTTAAATATTTACTAAGTCTCTACTTGTTGGAATCCATTTTCAGTTTTAAATTTAAAAATTACCATTAAAAAATGATTTAAAATCACGAGATTCCTAATCTTCATGAATTTCATATCCCCTTCTATGAAATATTTTACATATTTTTTTAATCCTATAAAAACTATAATTAATTTATAAGTTTGCTCCAACATATTCGATTCTTTCACATGCAAAGATGGCAAAGGGATTCATTCCTGCACACAATATTGTGATGGGAAAGACGACTGCGCTGACAAATCCGATGAGGATCCTGATTGCAAATGCTCAGCCGGAGAGAAGAAATGCAAAGGTGGTGGATGCCTTCATTCATTCAAATTTTGCGATAAAGTGCACGATTGTCCTAAGGAGGGAGATTATAGTGATGAAATGGATTGCGGTTAGTTTGAAATCACTTTACATTAAGAGAAGTTCAAATAATATAATTTTAATTTTACTGTAAATAGTTGTTAAACGAATATTTCAGCTATGATAGAATAATTCTGGAAATTTTATAAAAGTTATGACTTTCCAATTATTGAAAATAGACATATAATGCTTCTCCTCAGAAATTAACATAATTTTTATCGTCGTTATATCATTTTAGTATTTGGCACAAATTATTTTATTCTAATTTCTAAATTTCACTTAACAGCCTTTGTTATATTTGTATTTTCTGAAAAAAAAAACACTATTTCGAAAATTTAATTCAAAATTATCTCTGAACCATTAAGATTTCTTATTTTTAAAAAAATTATTTTTATAGCTTCAAATTGATTCTGAAACTTTAAATTTTGATAAAATTTTGGTTACCATTGTCAATTCCAAAAAATTATAAAGAAAATCTATAAATAAAAAAAAGAGAAAAGATTAAAACTAATAAATGAGTAAATAAATAATTTAAAAAATAATGTTAAATAGGTTTAATAAGCTATTCTGTTAAATTAGCAATTGAAACTAGTTTTTAAGGAGCGATTGGTAACGACGCTATTTTTATTTAAACAACTAATTAATGGCGCCGCTACTTTTTTTAAAATAGCTACTTTAAAAATAATTTCAAATAATATTTTAAAATGATTAACATAATTTACGTTCTATAATTTGAATAAATAATTAGATATAAAAAAAATAAATTGGTGTAAATCTTTTAATTTTCCTACATTTATATTCATTTATTTAAAACTTGAAATCGATATGATCACATCTTATGCATCATAAATAAGATTATAAATTTATATATTTTGTTTAGAAAAAGAAAAAACAAAGGAGGAACTTGAAATAGAAATTATAAAACAAGCTCATGATATTTATAAATATGATCAAAATATAATAAAAGAATTATAGCTGAAAAATCCTTGAGCCGGAGAAAAATATTACAAAAAGTTTGTCCAACAAGATGAAACCTTTGCCATAAAGAGTAACGGTTTTTATGTGGAGTTAGAAAACCCAATTATAAATGCTTTTACCGAAATAACCCAATGGCCTTAAAAAGCCATAGGCAGACAGATTATTGGACACAATATTACGACCAATTTTTTTTAAATCAATAAATCTTTAATACAATAAAATGTCAACACTTCATTCCTTTGTTTTATAACAAATATCCTGAATATTCTTTATACATTCTCCACAGTAATTCAAGCCCCTTTTCTAAAATAAAATAACAACATAATTAAATCACAAGAGGGAATCCCGCCATTTTTTGCATTGCAAATTACAAAATAATCCAGGAAATTTAACATAAATCCTTCCTTTAAATTCCTGGTTTCTAGATGATGGGATTGTCTGGGAAACATTTCCCCAATCATGTCCATCCCCCCCCCCCCCCCACTATCGAGAATATCTTACATATTACAGGACTATCACTCAATCTCCCCAAATGTGAGATTTGCTTCCATTTCTTTAGACATGGCATATCTCGTCATCAATAGAGACGAGATGACACATCCGTTCATTTGAATACCTTGAGGACAATCTCAATAACTTAGTATTATAAGCAAACTCAGGTTACGAATGATTGGAAGCCATTCCCAGTTCCAATCTTGGCTTCCTCATGACTGACGAACAGCTAAGCATTTTCATAGCTCTCCTCCTTGGCTGTAATGCTGTAGTTCCTACCATTTGTATCGAGTGTGGCCAGCCCATTGAATCGAAAGCTTACCATCCCTAGCACTGCAGTTCTCCCATGGATGACAACCTCGTCATAAATCTATTATCAACATTCTCTTAGCTGCCCTTAAAAAGTTAATATTCCATCCACTCTCGGACCAGTGGGCCTCTCAAACGAAAACGCCATACGCCCCGATGGTATATACCTCATTACCTGGACCAACGGTCTCCCGCTCGCTTGGGACTATACCGTGTCGATTTTGCAGCAAAGTCCAACCTCTCATTTTCTGCCATCGAAAGACAGAAATCCTAAAAAAACAAATACGCTGGCCTCACCAACACTGTATTCATACCAATCGTTACCAATACCCTAGGCATGTTTGGAAGTGAGACCCTCAATTTTATTAAAATAATAGGAAAATGATACAGATCTCAGGGGACCCCAATGAAGGATTTTAACTTCGTCAGCAGATCCCTAGAAATCTGTCGGTCCAATATTTTAAGTATTCACTCTTCTCTAGGGTGATATGTACCCCCTTTTTAAATATTTTTTTTTCTTTTTTCTCTTAGTTCTTTTTTCATAGATTTATACATATATAATATTTAAAAAAAATTAATTTTTTAATATATCTTCATTTGTAATAATATTTTTCATTCAATAGTGCGTATATCCTATTTTAAAATAAAGTATCATCTAAATTACACAATTATTTTATGCAAAATATTTTTAAAAAAAATTATATTTTATTTATATATAATTGAGATTATGAATAGCTGAAAACATTATATTGATACTTAAGGATATTAGCGCAAATGGAGGAATTTCATAAATTATATGTCATTGTGGAATCAAGAGCATAACTCTATGAATTTAATATTTTTCTACCTCGACTCGCATGAATGCAATCCTCTTTTTCCAATATTAATATGGGGTCAAAAGAATACTATAAAATAAACTTTATTATCCCCCTCTTCTAGAACTTTATTATTCAAATAAATAAAAAGTTATTGAGTAAGGATGTAGCACTTACAAATCTGCCAATATTATTACCCCAAATTCTTTAATATTTCTGCCACTGAAAGAACATTTTATTCTTTAAAAAGAATATAAATTTACCTAAGAAATACAACCTCTGAAAAAAGATTAATTTTTTAATATGCATTTGGAGCCAGAGACCTGCAGGCCCGGCCCGGAGGTTTACACCAAGCGCTGGTAAAATCATTGAAAGCTCATCCCAAAGAAGATTTAATTTAACATTATAAATTTATTATAAGCTTCTTAATTATATTTTTATACATGAATACTTTGTTAGTTTGCATACATAAATAATTTTTAAGAATATTTTTGTACATTAATATATAATTCAAACATTTCATTTTTTTAAATATAATTTAAATTCATATATCAAATTAAAGTTTCTTTTCGAGACATATATTTTATATCACCATTGCTAGTGCTAGTCCTAATAAATTTTTAAAACTCAAAATATTTTAGAAACTCCTAGAAATTTTTTTAAAATTATCCGCCCTCCCCCATAGCAAATTTCTACTTTGCGCACCTGATTTCTTAGTTATATGAAATTCATGCAAAAGAATTAATGTACGCCAAACTTCATAAGCTCTATTTAATACAATAAAATAATATGCTAGTTTTTGGCTCAAGAGCTATGTATTTTTCTCAGAATTATAAAAAAATCACATAATAAAATGAGGACATCTTGCCTTTTAAGTTTTCCTATGCTATTTCCGAAGAATGTAATCATATTATATAATTATAAATAATATAAATTAAATAACTAATTTTTTGATATCATCAACATCAGATATTCAATATATTTAAAGAGTCTTCTCTTTTAAAATTCCCTTTTATAAAATATAATACCCTCTATCCATCCAGTTCACCGAGAGAACATTTAATTTAGAAAAGGATGTTTTGGGAGGAAAAGATGTTCTTTGTTAGATAAAAACTTTTGAGAAACTCTTCTCTTGATTAAAATTATATATGCTTAATATTCTATTAATAAATTTTTTTATTTCGCCTAGAATTGATATTTGTATCACAAATCTTAATAAAAAGTTTATTTAGATTATTAAAATAAATATATAATTGGTACTGCAACTTTTCAGCACATAAGAAAAAAAATTAGACATAATTTTTAAAGTATCTTAAGCCTTTGTCAAAGAAATTTAACCAAAATCTACATTATAACTAGATAACTATTATTTACTCCGCGAAGCTTGCTCATTACTTATAATTTACACTTGCCCTTCATTCATCATTAAATATATAACTAACTACCTATAATTTTAAACCGCCCTTCACTTATCATCACATTACATTAAACATGTATATGAAATAGCTGACCAAAATCCACGATATTTTATTATTATTTGTGTTAAAAAAGTTTGTGATAAATCGGAATTCAAGTGCCGAAACGGACTATGCATGGACGAAGAACAAGTCTATTGCAATAAAGTGAACGATTGTGGAGATAATTCAGACGAGCCCGCTAACTGCACTTGCTTAGGTCGGGATAGACAATTCGAATGCCTAACGGAGGGGATTTGCATTCCATCTATTAGCAAGTGCGATGGCCATGTCGATTGCAGAGACAAAGGAGACGAACTTAATTGTTGTAAGTTCGTATATTATATTAAACAATTTAAATCAGAGGTTGGCACCGAAACCAGAAACCAAAACCTGGAAGGAACCGCGGCTTATAAGAATCGTAAATCCAGAACTTGTTTAACTGGAACCAAATATATTTCTTATAAATAACCAAAACCGAAACATAACCAGAGTCAGAAACATTTTTAGTATATGCTCCAAATCGGATTTAAATCTAGTTTCTTTTCCATTTTCTAAAGGAAATTTTAATTCAAGTTTAGGTAATCAGAATGTTTTTCATAATGAAGACAAATTTTAAAAATCGAAATTTTTTTTATTCAATTTTATCATATAACATATTATATTAAACTATAAACTATAGTATTTCTAATGGCAATAAAAATAGGTAATTAACCGCGATATGTTATTAATTTTATTAATCATATATAATGTGTTGAATTTGAAAGTGTAAATATGTTATATTTAGTATACATTAAATGACATAAATTTTAGTTCAAATTGTACATACGAATTAGTAAACGTTTATCAAGTGCCAGTTTATAAATAAAATTAATTGCTCGAATTAATGTTACCTGGCAACACTTATATTTTATTAAAAAAGACATCTCCATAAATAGTGACAGAATAGATTACTCGAATCACAGTTGCTGATTTGTGGAGAGTTTACAATAAACAGTATTTCAATATTCCTTCCACTGAGTATTATACTGTACTCCCTTTTACAAAATGCATTATTTTCGCTAACTCAATTTTTAAGTATGGTAAATCGTGGTTATATTGCAGCTGTTTTATTATTTGCGATAAAATTTTATAATTAAACCAATTGGTAGCATTCTACCTTTTAAGCTGTGTTTTTTGGGATTAAGTAAAGGTCCCTGGGTAAGTTTAAGTTAAGTCAAATATCCAATTTTAAACAACAAAACACAATTAATTTTATTGGTAATGAATAAACAAATTATGAATATTTAAAAAAAAATTGGTCGTTACAATAAACAAAAAATAGATAATTCCTGTTAAAAACAAAATATGTCCATTCAAGATGCTTAGTGCATTAAAACAAATCCTCATGCCTTTAATTTTTATTGAATAACACTAGTAAAGATACCTCCACATCCATTTATTTTACCTACACCTGAATATTTTACTAAAAAAATCTACCATTAATATTTGCCTAACAAAACAATTCCTCCTACCTTCCTTCAACCTCTATTTTCTCCTACCTCCTTTCCATTCCTATTATATTTGGGCGATCTTGGGCCATACCCTCCCCTTTATGACAGAAATGCCTGTTATCATGATTAGATAGTTGGTTATAGACAACTTTACATTAGGAATAACATCATTCAAAATGGTTTTATCTCTAAACGATCATTACATATATCTAAAATGCTACCGTTTATGAAAATCACGCCGGCCTATAAATTTTTTTCATATTTTATACCTTTTCATGTTAATAATTGGTCAACACCACTATTGTTTTTTTAATGTCAATCAGGATTTTGATGAATTCTTATTTTCTACATATTTTAAAATCATAATTATATTGACGCCATTTTAGAAATCAATCAATCAAAAATCTAAAATTCAAAAGATTACCATAATTTTACATTTTTTTAAAATGAATGCATCTATATTTAATAAATCTATACATAATTTTAATATTATAGTAAATAATAAAAATAAAAAATTATTTGGTAGTAGTTTTTTGATTTCTTATACTTAAAAAGAGATAGTAAAACAATTTACATATATTCTGACAAATTTTACTGTAGTCGTTGCTTATTGTAGACGATGATGATTCAAATAAGCCCTTTTCACAGTATATTTTTTAAAAAATATTATTATCTGCCAAAATCTTTAATAAATTAAAATATATGTTTTATAAAATATAATCTAGCTAAAATTCAAAACTTTCAATCAACATTACCACAGGAATTTGTTAAAACTATGTGTTATTATATTGTACTGACTTATTATCTTTTCAATCAATTGATAACATAGGAATGAAATTTTTTTTGAAGGGATCAAATTTATAAAAAATTTGGTATATTATCTATAATATTTACATTAATAAAACTCCCATTATTATTAAACAAGAACCTTTTAAGATCTACCAAGTCTTTTTTGCTTTATTGATATAGCATTGATTGTCAAGGAAGGTTTACTAGTTGAATTTCATAGCCATGCCAACAATATGATTAGACATAGACATTAATAATTTAAATAATATTGGATAATTGCATATTCATTTATCCTAATCATCTCTTCTGGGTAGCTTTACAACCAGAATAAATTTTTAACAAATTTATTTCTTCTTGATAAATTGCCCCTAATTTGTTGTCTAATATAAATTAAAGATATAATTATTTTTTATTATAAATTTCAAAATACTTATTTTAGAAATTTCAAGTTATCAATTATAATTCTGATTTGCCAGATAGGACAACACTAAGCCGTACTGCTCTTAATGAAGTTTACCTATCAATGAAAGCATATGTGCTAGAACAAATTAACTCAGGGCCAAAATTTTGATCAATTATATTCGATATAGATCAATACAGAAACAGAAACTATATACTTTATTTAATAAATGATAATTTTGAAATGATTTACTTTACTTACTCATTTTATAACCCAAAAACACACAGGTGAGACTACTCTAACTGAGATTGATAAAATAGAAGAGGAATTTAATTTAAAAATAAAAAAAAACAAATGGTCACAGAGTGCTAGGCCTAATGTTAGAAAGGGTGTTCGATTAGGTGAATATGAACATATGTTTGGGTCATGGTTTACACAGTCTGGTTACAGTAGATAATATTAAAAGATACCCTTTGTTGAAAATCTAACCAAAAGCATTAGAGAAATTACTACTGCTCTAAGATATAAAACTGCAAAGGTTGAATATAAATTCGAGGCAGATCAAAGAAAATGCCTTGGCACGATAGATCTAACATTAGACATGTTAGATCTTAATAGCATCCAATTACCCGTTTTCAAATTGGCAATTCTAATGATAATAATAACAATAATTCCATGCATATGAAATTCTTAAAACTAAATGTCCCAACACGTTGGCTTATGTATTAATTATGCTAGAAAGCATACCTGGATAATAATGTTTTGAAAAGAATTTGGAAACATTTTTTCAAATTAAAATTATGAATCTGATCTGGTAGAATAACTATTAGAATTTTTTTCAAAATTTAAAGAAACTGTCGAATTTCTATCAGTACAAAAAGGGCCTGCGTTAAACTTGGCGTTAGATCCAAGATTTCAAAAATTGACAATTGTGTCAAAGTATATAATAGAGCAAAACTGTTTAACTTTAGAATTTATAATATAACATCTTAAACTTATAGAGAATGATGATATTCAGGTAGTAAATATAGCTATTGAAGATTAAGAGGAATTTTTAAATTCAAGTTATTCAAATTTGGCAAATAAACATTCAACATATAAATTATGATTCCACGTTAGGTTACTTAGAACAAGAATGCCACATTCTTCTTGGAAAACTACATTCACAAGATATGGATGTTCTAAATCTTTGGAGAGAAAAGAAGAGTGAACTTTCCTATCTTTCCAGGCTTGCCAAAAAATTCTTTGTATTCCGGAGAATAGCACACCCTGTTAAAGAGTTGTGGGTTGACGTTGAATTCAAGGAGATTATCATTATATCTGAAAAATTCAAATACGATAATTATAATATTAAGAAATCGATTTCGGATTTATAATGAGTTCTCTTAAATAAAGATTAAAAAATATGCCGAGATATCTGTAACCTAGTGTATATTTTACTTTTTTAAAAATTTTTTTTTTTTTCTCTTTAGCTTTTACTATTTCTGGTGGTAAGCTCCTTCAACATCTCTCTCCACTTTATGTTATTCATACAATCTCTTTTATCTATTTTATACTTCTTTATATTGGCTCTAACTTTATGGCCCCATTGAAGTTTTGGCCTTCCTCTTTTACGTTTGCCCATCACTTCCAAACTTTCAACTTTATTTCCTATGTAGTTCATAGGCCTTCTCATTGTGTGCCCATACCACCTAAGTCTGTTTACCATTAACTTAGTCTTAATGGGCAGTACCTTTAAAATATTTAGTATTCTTGTACTGCGCACCTTATCCTTTCTTGTTACCCCAGCAATCATCCTCAGCATTCTCATCTCCATAGTTTGTAGACTTCTCTCGTCTGATTCTTTGGTTGGCCATATTTCCGAACTATATAGAATAGTTGGTTGTACTATGGAACTGTAGATTTTTCCCTTTAATTTGTGTGGGATTCTTTTGTCAAATAGCACTCCAGATAAAAATCTCCACTTTAACCACCCTTGATTAATCTTATTCTTTATCTCTTTTTCTATTGTGACATTTGTTTGTATAGTGGAGCCCAAATATTTGCAGCTTTCAATTGCGGATATCTGCCAATCATTTATATCAATACTCTCCGTTTCATCTCCTCCTATCACCATATACTCCGTCTTTTCTCTATTTACTTTTAATCCGTGCGTTTCTAGGATATTTATCCAATTCACTAACCTTTCTTTCATTTCATCCTTGGATTCGGCAAGTATCACAATATCATCTGCAAATATCATATTCCACGGGACTGTTTGAGGTATAGACTGTGCTAATACATCTATTACTGTAATGAAGAGAAGTGGGCTGAGAGCCGACCCTTGATGAACTCCTTCGGTTATTGTGAAGCCTTCTGAAGTACCTGTTGTGCTACCTAGTACCACTTTCATATTTTATTAAATGACTGTCTTTTTTCCTATAGTAGATGTTGGTTAAGGCAAGGTCGAAGGCTTGCGCAAATTTCAGTACGTGCTCTCCTTCATCATTTCTTTCTCCGTATCCAAAACCACCATGATGCCTTTTGTAGCTATCTCTTGCTTTCCCCACATGCGCATTTAAGTCACCACCAATTATGACTAGGTCATCCTTAGGGATTTCCATTACAGCTTCATCAAGGATAGCTCTAAAGTCATCTTTCTCTTCTTCCTTGCAACCCGTTTGAGAAGCATATACTGATAGGATGTGTAGTATTGATTGACCAATGCAGAGTTTTATCTTCATCAGTCTATCAGAGATCCTGTTGACTTCTACTACTGAAGAGGTTAGGTCTTGGCTGAGGATGATGCCGACACCGTTCCTATTGCTAACAAGTCCATTATAGTACAATTTATACCCATCTCCAATCATCAAAGTTTTCTGTCCTTTCCATTTCGTCTCTTGTATGCACGCTATATCAACTTTTCTCTTGTTCAACATTGATGCCAATTCTCTCGTCTTACCTTTAAGCGTCCCAATATTCAAACTTGCTAGTCTTGTCTTCTTTGCTTTGACCTTTACTTTATTTTTCACAGGATGGAGGTCTACACTCTGCGCGTCGCATGGAGGGAACGCCCTAGCTTTCATATTCATATTTTCATTTGTGTCCTTCATTTTGTTTATTGGACAGGTATCCTTAGCACCCGGCTGTCCAGGCCTGTCGGTGACCGGGGTGTCATCTCTAAGCTCCGAAATTCATCATACCATATGTCTTTACACATCAGTCATCGAAGAAAAACTTGAAAGTTTTTATGGTTCTTACCAGGATTGAACCCGCGTCCTTGTCCATACTCGTGTTTCCAAGCCCACATCTTACCCATTAGATATTAAGCAATTAAAAATATATATGTTATAAAAATTTTAAACTGCGCCGATTTACGCCGCTTTTGTTGACGGCGACTAAAAATCGTCTCGCCGCCAGCCGTCGATTAGATTTTTGAAAATTGCGCCGGCTGCCGCTAGTTTCGTCGGCCCACAGGGTTATATATATATCATTGGTTATCCGGGTTCAGTGGATTGATTCCATCCACCAGCAGAAAACTTACCTAAAATATTATATGGGGTTGTTGCCCTGAGAAAGTTTTGCATCATAAATTTGCTATTTTACCCTTCGCGTAAAGCTTCTGGGGTAGTGAATTAGCTTAATTGACTCTGGCTATTTCTTCTAAGCAAGTTAGAAACCTACTACCAAATTGATTTAGTAGTTTAAACATTGAGGAATATATTTACAAATTTCATAAAATTAGAAGGGATACATTTGCCTCAAAACAACAAATAAGAAATAAAAAGGTTGGTGAAAAGAGAAAAATATTTTTGATCAATATTATTTGAATGTAGACAAAATAGGAATATGGTAGTTATTATATATAAATATACATTTTTTGACCAGATTTCAAACAAATGGCCCTAAAGATCAAAAGGTTATAAACGTTTGCCTTTTTATCTTACCTATCGTATAACCTTATAGACCTGATCTCCACCACTATAATCTACCACAACAATAAAAATGTTGCATAATTTAAAAGAATTCTTTAATTACATTATTACATTGTGAATTGTGTTCTTCAGTTAAAAATACAACAAATGCATATTTTATTATTTCTAGAAAAAGTAGTAAAAAATGTATATAAATCTACTCACATAATCATGCTAAAATTTTCTTAGATATCTTTTCCATTTCTATATTTCTATATAATAAAGTTTTGATTTGTGTATAAATTAAAGCATGTCCATCTGATACGAAATTTAAATGTGACGGTGGGGTCTGTAAAATATTGGAAAAGAAATGTGACGGCTATCGAGATTGCGAGGATGGAAGCGATGAAGAAAATTGTTAAACTCAAGTTTATTTAAAAAGCTTTATTATATTATTCTATCTCCACTTTTATAATTTTAAGGTAGAACAAATTTTTATAATTAGCCATGGGGCAGGATTTAAAACTACCTTCTTAAAATATGTAAATGATTTTCAATTTCCTAAACTCCATTTTAGCATAAAGGTGAAGATGTAATAATCGAATAATCTAAAAACTTTTAAAATTAACAATAAATTTTACACAGCTTTAGAAATGTGGAAAGGGGGGGGGGGGATAATAAAATAATTATATTTTTTGTTTATTAACATAATATATATATCAGAAATCTACAGAGGTACCAATAGTAAGGCCCTGACCAGGTTTGTAAAAAAATATTTTTTGGTCCAGTCCCCTTTTTTAAAAAAAAATTACACGGCCCTGCTCGTAGCCTTTGATATATATAATATTTAAAACATCATTTAATTGCGTTTAAATTGGAGTTGGGGCTATTTAAATTAAAAAAATAAAGTAGAAACTTGATTTTAAACTAAATCATAATTTTTGTTAGCTGTAATTCATTGTGAATTAGTCTTTCAGAATTAATTTTTCTTATATGTAATTTTTTTAAAAAATTTTAAACATATTTCAAGAAACTCAAATTCTCTATAATATACTCAATGTGTGAGGATTGAAAATTTCGGCTTCTTCGTCAAATGAAATTGCAATATTCGATTTTTATAGGCATTAAAAGAAAACAAATCTAAATTAATATTTTTTGACAATCATGTTAATAATAAATATACAATTTTTTTTTTCTTTGTAATTTAATTACTACAACTTAAAAAAAATCATATAAATTATGCACAATCAATTAAACATCATTTTTCCACTTTTTTTTAAATTATAATAAATATTTAATATATTTTATTAACTATAAACCAATAAACAATTATTATATTATACATTTATTTTGAATTCAGGCAAGGGGTGCGGTGTTAAATAAGCAAATAGGATCGTGAAGTCGTTATTTAAGTGCATTTTAATTTTTTATTTGGATCAATTCACATCAAATTAAGATGGATTTAAAGATTCAATTTGAATGAGATCTCTTATCATTCGATTTGCTATTTTGCCACTTATTTGAAGAGGGAAAGCCCAATATATGTATTGTCTTGTTCATTTACCTAATTTATTTACTAATTTAAATGCCTCTTAAAAAAATGTAGTGCTTTATAATTATTATAGTACACTAGTAAGTTCAAAATTATTAAGACCAAGGCAATTGTTTCTTGACGAGGGATTACCTAAAATATGACAATCCGAGGCTGCGGAATCTAATACATGCATATAAGGAATGGAATGAACTTAGACTGGGTTATAATGGATGTTTATAAATTGGTTGTAAATAAATACAATAATTTATTTATTTATTCTTTTATTTAAATCTTGTAATTAATTTATAATTATATAATTTATAAAATGAAAAATATATAATTAGTATAATTAGTAAACGATTACGGAAAAAAAAAATCATAATAACAAAAGGACAATATTGAGACCTAGATCATAAAATAATGTAAAATAAAAAATTAATAAAAGCGAAAGCAGCAAAATTATTCAAAACCTCCTTCACCTAATCATAAGGAGAGATCGAATTTATAACAAACATCATTAGCCTTAAGAATGGCTATTGCGATACTCTGCCTTAATTAAAAACCTTCGCGAGGCTCCCCAGAATTTTTTCTGATTAGGCGGTCAACGTCTCTAAAAAAGTTTTTAGCCAAATCACCATATGTAGTTAGGGTGGAGCAAATGATTGGTATGGATATGTAATTTAAGGAATCAGCGCTGTATTTGCCGATCTTAAAATTTTGAGCTCTGTCCAGGCGTCCTTGTTAAAATTGGAGGGAGAGTTAGTGCCCAGACAAGATTGAGCATGGGATACTTGTGACCCCATCAGGACGCCTACTATCGGAAAATAGGCGAGAAGGTTCCATTGAGGTAGGAAAGCCAGCTGACCTGAGTGCAATAGATATGATTTGATTGCACTTTAAGCGTCGAGTTTGCCGACCGAGATTACGATTGCAATGTAAAGGATGCAGCGCTATATTGTTATCATCAGTAGGACATTTGCTGCATTTATATGGTAATGAAAAGGGAATGTTGAGCCTGATACATAGAGCATAGCTGAGCTCATGTTTTTCCAATTCAAGTTTGAGATTGGTAGATGGAATAACATCTAAATATTTATATCCCCGATCTTTGGTTCAATAAATGTGGATCTAGCCAATGGTGAGAGATTCGAAATAAGGTAATCAACGTTTTTCACAAGTGGTAAATCCCAATCCTTCTGCTTAACAGAGATCGGAAATAGGGTTGTGTTTGTGACGGATTTTGCCCATTCTCTCTTAGCTGTATTCAAAAAAGGAACGTGGACCGACAGTTGTTGGTCAATTAATATACGTGCCTGAAGGTGGCTAGCAATGAACGCACATATTGATAGGGAAAATGGGGATCTTATATCAAGGCCGCCATGTTTGGAAGGAAGTGTGGCTTGATGCCAAGTTATGTCTGTAAATTAGATATTTAAGCAGTCGCTAAGGATGACTTATTCTGGTTTCGAATCTCACTAAATGCTCCCTCTCTAAAAATAATGAGCTCGATCGTAGGGCATAAAGGATTATAGGAATGTTGAAGAAATTCCGAATTGATACTAGGCCTTGTGAGCAGAAAGACAAGGAAGAATGCGTTTTAAATTTTCAAAGATATTGCCCATATCGCTAAAAAGGAATTCACTGACTCCTCACCAATGGGAGAGCCCAAATGCGATAAATTTTTTATGTCAACATGCTTAAAACCAAAAACGTTTTGCGAAATTGTATTAATATCGCAGTAATCAGTTTTGATTTGATTAATTGCAAGTCTGAGGCTGTCAGTAGAAGCCTTAATATATTGATAGCTTTTACCACCTCTGCAGATTCGCCAGAGAGTGTAAGGCCAGCGTGCAGTCATTGTTTATTTTAGTAATCAAATCATGGATACCAAGACAAAATAATATGGAGCCTAGGGGATCTCCTTGTTGAATACCTTCAGAAGAGTTTAGATATGATGGCCAAATATTGATAGTTTCTTATAGGGCGAGAGGATATAGTTTGTAAAAATTGGGAAATATTTTATAAATTGTGAAATTATTACTTTTCTGTGAATGCTATTTTAAGCTTTTGTAAAATCGATTTTTACAAGATGTTGAGCAATTTTGGTATTTTGAGCATAAATACGAGTTATATGTGCCGCTGCTTCACAGCCTGAGCTCGTACCAACCCCAAATTGAAGAGGAAGAAGTGTGTTAGATACTTGTACAGAAATTTTGCTAGCTATTAACTTGGAACATAATCTCCTATATAAAGCACCAACAGCAATAGGCCTAATATCACTATTCTTTTTTCTCAGGGCGACAAGTTAGGCTCCAAAAAAGAGGGCGCTTGCAAAATCTGGGACCTCATCATTAATGACCTTGTTGCATAATTGAGTTATTTTATCCAATAAAAGGTTTGACTGTTGAGGATGGAAGTAGTTAAATTTTGAAGAAATAAAGGTTTGATACCTTTAAATCCAGGAGCCGCATCCTTCTGAAAAGATCTCACGGAATTAAATCCTTCTTCCGAAATGAAAATCAGAGAAGGGTGGTTGTTGGTTTCATAAATCATTATAGCTTCCAGTGCCTGAGGATGCTTGTATATTAGTCTTTGGTATGCCACTGGGTCCACTGGAGCAAGTGTGTCAAAGGAGCTACATAGTCTGAGAGCACTATTTATGTCCAAATTGTTTATTTTGTTATCAATTAGCTTCACCTTGAAATTTAAATCGTCCTGTTTTTGTTGCAGGTATGAGTTATGATATTATGTGGTTCATAATTAGCATTAGAAGATGCTAGTTTAATATTCCTAATAAGAATTACCATTCGCAGCAGGAATTTGGAATAGTGGGCATAATTGGTAGAAACCCCTTGTCTGGCACCTCTTGGAATTCTCGAGATCAGACGAGGTTTGGGAAGGCCAAGGAATTGTTCAATGAAGGAATTAGTGATATGAATGTCAGGATTAGATTCGATAATGTTTGACGTTGGATTAGATTCGAGAATGTTTGAAGTTGTAATATCAACACAATTTGATGTAGATGGAATAGATAACTGTGTCAAAGGATTTAAGAGGGAACTGTGAGGAATTGCTAGAGGATAGATAGAAGGTACAAAGACAGAAGGGCATCTTTGTCCATTCACACTATAGGCCCTTAAACGGCCATTTCCAAGTATTAAAATAGAATTTCTGCATTGAGAACAGATATTTCTATCCAACATAATATATGGGCCTACTATTGGGTATTACAATCCATAGATTACCCATTAATATTTTTATTATATCATCTGAGAATTCATAACTGTACTTCATCATTTTTGGATGAAGGCATTTAAGAATATAATAATTATATACATTCAATCTTTCAAATTAGCGGTTATGTTGTTCACCATCTGCCATGAAAGCAGGCATTTATCAATATAATTATATGTATTCAAACTTTTAAATTAGAAGCTATCTTATCTATCTAGCATGTTGGTCTTAGACATAATGCTATTATAATATGTGATGGTAATAGGTTATTTTAAATTCTATCAATTCTCTTATAGTTGGATAATGCTAATATGTATTTTAAGAATTTAATCTGTCTTGATTTCTTACCATTGTATACCACCTGCCTTGAAAGCAGGAATTTATCAGTGTAAATTTTATATGTTAAAACTTTAAAAATTAGCAGCAAACAATTTTACATTATAGACATAATACTATTGTAATTTGTGATGGAGTTTGCTTATTTTAAAATTTAATCAGATCTATTGTAATTAAATAATGCTAATATGTATTCATGTATTCCAAGAATTTAATCTCTCTTTATTTCTTAATAACTAATGACATAATGATGTTCACCACCTGCCTTAAAAGCAGACATTTACAGTATAATAATTTTATAAATTTAAACAACAGCTATCAATTTTAAATTATAGCTACAACAGCTATCAATTTTAAATTATAGCTATTATAATATTGATGGAGATAGATTATTTTAAATAATAAATGTTTTATAATTAAGAAAAAGAATGTTGCTAATATGTGTTCAAAAAAAATAATTTAATCTCTCTTCGGTGTAACTAAACTGAGAATTGACAGGTAAACTGCGAATGGAGAGGTAAAATATATGTTTATTTTATAGCTTATCAATTTTATTTTATAAATAAAATAAACGTTTTTATTTTGTAAATCAAATTTATCCAATTTAATTTTATCTAAATAAATAAAATAGAATATAGAGGAAATTGTAGTCCATAAATTTATATAATATGTATAGAACAGATATGTTACATAGAAAATATAACATCCATAATAAATTTAAAAATCATAAATATATTTCCGTTAGATGGCGTAATATAAATTTTTTTTAGTTTTTAATTAAAAAAAATATGAATAATAGGAGCATAATTTTTTACTTTGGATTAATTTATTTGGTACAAGCTATATAATCATAAAATGAAAAAAAAATTAAGTTTCCATCATTATTTTTTGAGTTATGATGTCAATTCTCAGTTTAATCAAAAATATTTAGATTTTTGGGATTTTAAAAATGTTTTATTTTTTTGACTCATTTTGTGTAAATTTACTCACATAAACATAAAATGAAAAAAAATTTAAGT